GTTACCTGCACAGCTGTCCACGTGGGGGGCTGTGCTCACAGACCTGGTGGAAGTCCCCGAAGGCCAGTGGTCTCTGGTGGAAAGCTGACTCCAGAGAATTATTTCAGCTGCATCATGAAACAATGATGCTCTCGCATCTAGGGGCAGCTTCTGTCTTGAGCAGCAGTCTTAAGTCCCATGATGCTCAAATGGATAGACAGGTCTGCACTTATTAAAGTGACTTAAGAAATAAATCTTCTATTTTTTTTTAAAGGACTTCCCTAATGAAATTTATACAAATATTTATCATTAAATTGCTCTGACATTGGGGCATATTTCCACATAATTCAGTGATGGTGGAGGAAGCTGCAGATAGAAGCTAAGACTGGTCACAGAGACAGTTCCTTAATTCATTGTACTTTTGTATGTGTTTGAAATTTTCCATAAAGCCAACTTTAAAAATAATTTTTAAAATAAATGGCCCTATGCAATCAAGTATTACACTGTAAAAATTTCATTTATATAATGAAAGTAAAAGTATTACTCAGTTGTATCCAACTCTTTGTGATCCCATGGACTGCAGCTCCCCAGGATCCTCTGTCCATGGAATTCTCCCAGCAAGAATACTGGAGTGGGTTGTCATTTCCTTCTCCAGGGAATCTTCCTGACCCAGGGATCAAACCTGGGTCTCCTGCATTGCAGGAGGTTTCTTTACCATCTGAGCCACCAGGGAAGTCAAAACTCAAAATATCCTTACTTGGAGTATTTATGCAATGAGACAAAATATTTGAAATTAAGAGTAATTTCCATTTGGCTGCAGTGGTACTTATTTGTAAAAAAATGCCGCAGGGCCAGATTTATCAAATATATGTCAAACTGCTTTTTTAAAGGTAGGTTTTCATCAAATGTATTTAATAAACACCTAATACATGCAAAGAAATATTGTCTCTATATTTTCTGCTCTCAATATAATTTTTAACTACCTATTTATATTATATAAACTAAGGATGCACAGTATCAGAAAGTCACAAAATCTTTTTTTTTTTACATATTCTGCAAATCAGACTCCTGCACTTTCTTCTCCAGGTTTCTGAGGCGTACTGCATTTTTGTTAATGCCTGATCATCCTGCTCTTTTTCAATGGACACAGAAAACACGCTCATTTTATTTCATGTTCTAGATAAACAACAGCTGCCAAAGGAACCGTTTGGAGCAATGGCGCACCCTCGTGGCCCCAAGAAGCAAATGGTATCCCCTCTGCATTTGAACTCGTTCCCATAATTTTTGAAACTAAGAACTATAAATAATTAGCCTAATAATATTAACCATAATATGGCATCAGAAGAAAAACACCTTGGGAATGAATGGGATAAACAGAAAGGCACAGACAATTGAACATGCAGTTGTTCTTCATTCCAAGGGCCCAGCGGCTCCAGAACACGTTCCGAAATGGTATATGGTTTTGAGCTGTGAATGTTTGGAATTTTATGAAGCAGTATTCTTATCCAAACTGTAGGACTCTTACTTGTTGCACCTCAGGTGAGTAAACAGGACTTTTTAAAGCCTTATCTTCTGCTTTGTTTTATTTCCTTGCAGTTCTGGGCCTCACTGTGTAGGTAGCTCAGACAGTCCCCTCTAGAGCCGGAATCACTGCATTTAAGTCGGGCTGTGTCTCTCAAAGCCGAGAGCCCCGGAGCAAGTTTGATCTTTATGCCTTAGTCTCCCCACCTGTAGGATGGGGACACCGCAGCAGACACTGTTTGGTCTTATGAGAATTAAACCGGTTCTTAAAGCCACGCCTGGAGCATAGTGACCTCTGCCACCACTGCAGCCAAGACTCCTCTCAAGCTGTGCTAACAGCTGTCCCCGAGACAATCACGTTTTGTCCATGCCTGCATTCTGGACTTAAGAGCTTCTGTGACTTTGTATTCCTCCAGTGATTACCCAGGAGTCTATAGGAACATGACAGCTATGAAATCCCACATTTAGGTCTACAGGGTAGCAATGGAGTATAATTAAACCCCGAGGACCTTGCTTCCTACCCTCAACTCAGCATCCCTTACATGCTGCGGCTACTGCTAAGTCACTTCAGTCGTGTCCGACTCTGTGCGACCCCGTCCCTGGATTCTCCAGGCAAGAACACTGGAGTGGGCTGCCATTTCCTTCGCCAATGCATAAAACTGAAAAGTGAAAGTGAAGTCGCTCAGTCATGTCCGACTCTTCACGACCCCATGGACTGCAGCCCACCAGGCTCCTCTGTCCATGGGATTTTCCAGGCAAGAGCACTGGAGTGGGGTGCCATTGCCTTCTCCGCCCTTAATTTCTAAACCCTACTTATTAGCGGGAATGAAATAGCAAGCACAGATTTGAAACCTCAGTTTCTGATGCATTCATAACCTACATCATTAAATGGGAACAGTGAGGTTAACCTATGCTTCTTAGAGTCAATGGATTCACATACTATTAGAATTCATAGAGCTACAAGATGATCTAGTTATCTTAGTCCAGTCTCACAAACTTCCACTTAAAGAATAGAGTATTAAGAAGTTCTCAAAGATCATACAAATAATGTATCCTGAATCCCAGTACAGTGTTCTTTCTAGTATAATATACTATCGCATTATTTCNCACTGGATTCTTTGGTAAGAAAGCTCTTTCAGGCGAAGAGAAGAGCATTTTTAAATATAAAGAGGGTAAAGAAAAAGATTTGTAATCTTAAAAGAAGTCCCAGGACTTCAGTAAATCATGAATAACGGCCATGCGATTCATTCAGAAGAAAATGGATTACTGGCCCCTGGGTCACAGTGTGCAAGCCTTAATAATCATATAAGCAGCTCTGGTGATTAGCTCCAGTGTGATGACTATTTATTTTCTTCCCTCCCCAGTCTTCTCTTAGGCCCCTTCTGCACGCTGAAAGAATAACCTGGACGACGCCACGAGGACGTGTCCGGTGCTCTGGTCCAGGTGGCTCCCGGGTGACGAACCACCAGGAGTCCCAGCGTTCTCCGCCGCACAGGTCTCGGTCACCTGGGGTGTGGGGACAAGCCTCTCCCCCCGCAGCTGCTGATTATCACAGCCACTGTGCTGGGGGCAGAAGCTGCCAATTCGGGTGTTTGTAAGAAAGTCTTAAGTGGCTCTAGACAATCTTTTCCAAGTGAAGAGTGTTTTGTAAAAGCCCACAGGAGGAAAATAGATGCTTTCTAATTTTAGAGTTGCACTAACGATGGTGTCCTTGAGGTTTCGATACATGTTCCCAGGCACTGGTTAATGTCACCCTGGGGAAATATAATTAGCACATTTGGGCACCCTGGCTGGAGACCTCTCTGTGGTCCTCCCCGCGAGTCCTAGACTTAGGGATATCCAAAGGATTGGTGCCCGTCTAGAAAATCATTAACTTCACTTTTCTGAATACACCCGAGAAGAATTCACCCAACTCTCATCTATAGTAAAAGGAGGCTTATGAGGCTGTAATAAACTTTTAGTTCCAAAAGCAAAGCAAATATTAATGTGTTCGTGTAATGCTTTTCCCTTAGAGACTGTTTTGTTCCTTGGAATGAAACATATGACTTGTGAAATTCAAGCCATCCCCTACTTACAAGGACAATTTCATTTATTAATGACATAATTAAGAAGAAATGGCTAGCTAAACAAACGATTAGCTTATTAGTTTGAGGAATAAACAAAGAGTAGGTTATTCATCCATTTGCTAAGTGTTTTTAGCCTTGCCTTGACATACCTTTCACTTATTGAGAATGCTTCTTAGGTTTTCTAGGGGATTTTTTGTGCCTCATCAGGTGATGAAAGCCTACACAGCTATGTATTTTCTTTAGGAGAAGGAGCAGGTAAGCTGCTACTTTCAGTCCTACAGCCTGACCTTAAGGAAGGTGCTTAACCTTCTTGCCCCGAAGTTTTCAGTCTCTGTAAAGTAAGGATGCTAGCAGTTGTAATCTACATAATGGCATTATGACTGAGAGACCTGTTACAGTTTTAAGGGAAGATGCTTTATATTACTGCAGTTCGCCTCCCAAATACAGAATGCTGGAAAATATCTTGGTTTTATTTAAAAGCCTTCAGATGTTTTTTGGAAGATGACTATGTTCTTTGTGATTATTAAGAGAATCTGAGCCCAAAGGCAACCTCATCTGAATGAGGCCAGCTACTTACAAGAGATCAACTAAAAAATTCTTAATGAAGTGTTTTGTTTTGTTTTGTTTTGTTTTGCTAGCTACATTCTACTTCTATAGGGACACAAAATAAATACTTTCTGATACAGGCAAGGCCTCTGGCTGTCACAGTCTAGCCCTGAGCTCACCGGGACTGGCTTGTCAACAGCTGAGCAGTTGAGATGCTCAGCTAGAAGATGCAGACAGAACAGAACTGAGTGAAAAGGGTCCTTGGGACCAGAAGGAAAATCATTCACTGGAAACAACAGTTGAAGAGGCTGGCCAGCTCCTCGGGGGAAGCTGCCCGGAGGCCTAAAGTTCCGGGGGCTGGAGGGGGCGGGCTAGGGGGCCCAGGCGGTGGCCTTCCTGGGCTGGGCTCCTACTGAGTGGTACTGAGCATCAGGGAGTAACTGAGAAGTAGTCACTCCAGACACAGGGAATGGAAGTGAGACGGCCAGCGCGACGAGGGTGCTCAAGTAACCCGAGCAAAGGACAAAGATGTCCGAAAGGGGCATCTCAACGTAACAGTATGCAACTGCCATTTCCAAGTTACACCGGATACTGTTAGCAAACAGAACTCAGTGGCTCAAGCTGTCTTGATCTAATGCCCATTGCTTCACTAGGCTGTCTGAAGTCCGGTTTTAGTGCAACGTGTTTTTATATCATGAACTTGTGTCTGCAAAATGGAAAGATGCATTCTTAACTACTCGGCCATACCTGTTGCATATAAGATGATTTTAAACCCGCTACCTGCTCTGAAGGACCCCGCAGGGACCCCCCGCGTTTCTTAACACCGCATCCCTCTGCACACCCCCCACATGTGGACCTGTCTAAGCGCGCTCAGGGCGCCAGACTCACCCTGGGGTTCGCGGATCCTCCTGCCCACCGCCGACCTCCGGAGCACGCTCCTGCCGGAGGTGAACAGGCTGGCCAGCTCGTCCAGGGGGCTGCCCAGAGGTCTGGAGTTCGGGGGGCTGTAGGGGGCCGGGGAGGGGGCGCCGGTGGTGGTGGCCTTCCTGGGCTCCCCTCGGGCCGTCTTCCCGGGGGAATACGGGGTTTTGGTGAGGGGGCTGCAGGGCGCGCCCGCCGGAGCTGAGGTGGGCTTCGGGGGGACCCTGGGGGGCTCCGCGGGGGCCGCGAAGGGAAAGTGCGCGGGTGGCCGCAGGGTGGCGGGGGGCGCGGGCGGGGGCAGGGGCGTCGGG